ATGGTGATGATGGTGATGATGATAATGATGATGGTGATGGTGATGATTGTGATGATGATAATGGTGATGATGGTGATGATGATGATGATGGTGATGATAATGGTGATGATGATGATGATGATAATGGTGGTGATGATGATGGTGATGGTGATGATGAAGGGCCAACCAGGAGATGGAGGTGACAAAGGTGTCCCAGGCTCACAAGGACCCAGAGGAATGCTGGTAAGGAGCTGAAACATTCATATTTCATATTTCATGTTGATATCATCTGATCTCGATCCTCTGACTCTCCACATCTCAGGGTCAGGACGGCAGAGACGGTTCTGGACCTGCAGGATTTAAAGGTGTGAAGGTAGGAGACGGTCCTCTCATCCACTCGTCTGTTGGAATGAACTCACGAAGGGTTAATATTTAATATTCGTCTCCTTCTCGTTACAGGGAGATCCTGGTTTCCCTGGTTACCCCGGTCTCCTGGTGAGCCTCTCACACGTTAAACATCATCATCACAAACAGTCTATATCTGGAACGTGACAATATTTTATATTTAAAAAACCCTGAACCTTCTATTATTGCCACTAATTGGTAAACATTTGCTATATTAATTATTTCCTCTATTTTAAGCTTCATTAAGCTGCATGATTTCACAACTTAAAGACCTACAATGATGATCTAAGTCTCATAATGTAGCTCAAGGAACTACGTATCATTCATTTTAAAGTAACTGGTTTTGGTGCACGAACTGGTGGAGAAATACTGAGAGCTTGAATCTTAAAGCTGACTGTTCCTGTGAGTCGTAATGAGGAGTTTAGATCTTCAGAGATGATACAGAAGTAAAATATGAGAAGCAGGAAGCATGTTGAAGCCCCACTTCTTGTGTTTGTGTTCAGGGTGAGGACGGCCTGAAGGGAACTGAAGGACATCCAGGACGTAAAGGGAACCGAGGACGAGGCGTGAGTGTTAACATGTTTGTATGTTCTCCACCAGGAGATAATGAGACCTGCTGTGAGTGAGTGAACAGTTCTGTCTTCATACTCACTACTATCTCTGGGTGTTAGATCACCTTTAATTACCTGTTTTATTCTCACTCACTGCTCTGAACAGCCTGTAGGGGGCGCTAGTGAAGACACAGAGGACCAAAACAGATCACTTTAACTGTGTTTGGCTAACAGCTAACATACAGTATAATGGAACAACACAAACATGATGTTTTTGCTTCATTCGTCATCTGTTTGTTGGATCTGATCTCTGCAGGGGAACTCAGGCAGGCCGGGAGAATCAGGCGTGTCTGGAGAACCGGGATATCCAGGCTACAGGGTGAGTCTATCTTCATCATCACCATCATCAGCATCATGTGTTTTAGTCACTTTTTAAGCAAACAAGTCAAAACTTGTGAGGATTAAATGCTTCTCTTTTTTTTACATCACTTAAAATATTTTGGGTTTTTGAAAATGAGACATTTTAAGACGTCACCTTGGCTTTGGGAAAAAATCATGGCTATTTTTCACAATTAATAATAATTTGAAGATTAATTATTCATGAAATCATTAGACGCAATACCACCTTAAGGAGGATATATTTATGTGACAGACCACCTTAAGTCCTGAACTATCTGTTATATAATAAGTTATATATTTATGAACCATATGAAGAGATTCAAGAGGTTAATGTTGTCTCTTCTTCAACTCTTCCAGGGCCCCAGAGGTCTTCCTGGAGGAAAAGCCATGACTGTAAGTCCCCCTTAAAGTTACAGGACATGAAACATTTCACCGTGAGTCTTTATTCAGGACGTCTTCTGTGTTTTCAGGAGTGTCAGCTGATCACCTACATCAGAGACAACTGTGGTGAGTCAACGAAGAACAACGAGAAGCTAAATGTTCTGTTTTCAATGTTTTTAATCATATCATAAGTAATGTTTACTCTTCCTCCACAGCGTGTTCCCTCGGTACGTATCTCCATTCTAACTAAAGCTTAGCAGAGGTCTGGTGAGTACAGAACAAATCTTCATCATCACATCAAGACGAAGGTTACAGAAGTTATAAAAATATAATAAAAAGTGAATCACCGTCACAGAACATTAGAGGAAGTTTCATATCTGCGTTTATCTCCCGCCTCTAGCAGCTTAGTCATGTTAGTCATCACAATGTGTTCACAATTATGTTAAAAACGAAAGTTAGGTTCAGGGAACAACACCAACAGTTAGGTTTAGGGAACAACACCAACAGTTAGGTTTAGGGAACAACACCAACAGTTA